TTTTTGAGCTTCTTAATTTTCAAACGATTTAGAATAATTAGCTTTGTAAAATTCAAATACTTTTCAAAGTCATTTTGAGTGTTCTTAGTCGATTTTCATAATTTATAAAATAGCAAATATATTTCATTTAGTTGTATAGATATGATCGGTATATTTCATAAAAAATTGAAAATCATCTCAAAAAGATTTTATTTTAAATATTCTAATTAAAATTAGTTTAGTTTAAATTATGGTTAATTTTAAAAATTAATTGGTTTATAGTTGAATTAATTATTTTATTTCGTTAAGATTGAGAAACTCCTAAAATTAATTATATTAATTCATCTTATTTGAAATTTAGCCAAATTCACTACATAACATTCAATTTTGGGCTAATTTCGTAATACACTTGGCCTTGTTTTATTACAAACATACCCATTTTCTAACCTCAATTTAAACCCATTAAATGACCAAATTTTAGGCCTTTTCAATGCAATTCCAGCCGACCCAATTCAAGTATCCCTTGGCCCACCATTTTTTCCAATTCAAACCAATAGCAATACGTATAGACATATGTTCCAGCCTACCAATTACTCATTCTGACTCCAATTTCCCAGCCCACCTTGACTTTAACAACTCCAATGTCCAGCAGCAGCAATTCCTCCAGCCCACTCTCAATTACCAAGACCCGGCCCACTCCTCACTCCACAAAGAAGACCCAGAAGACAAAGCAATGTCCCCAAACGTTAACAATAACGGGCAGCAACGTGAAGCAATATGCAACAGTACACGGCATCTTCACAGCGTGAAGACAGAAGCAACAACTTCACTTCCGTCCACGATTCCAATGCCAATTCCAGTCAATTTCAAGCGGCAAATACACAGAAAAGTAATGGGACAGGCGGAAAAGCAGCAGCCTGGCAGTACTCTGCTTTCATTTGGCTTCTTCTTCAAATGTCCCTATGCACATTAATGTCGCAGCAGCACGCGTCTGTCCCTTTCCTCTTTTGGAATGGGGCGAAAATCGTGGGAAAAGGTGTTTGTCCGAATTGGTGAAGGAGATTCAAATTTTGAATCTCGATTTTACCTATTTTGCCCTCACGTTTTCCTCCTAAATCAACCTTATTCTTCATCTATTTAAGGTCGCTTTGTCTTTCTTCATGGTGGGGGTTAACTTACAGAGAGTTGGGAAATAAGAGGGGGTTTTTCTTTTACTGATAGGCAGAAAACAGAGAAGGGGTTGAGTTCTTTATTCTTCTTTAGACTTTACCTTTAAGAAAAAATAACATATAAAGAACACACAGTAATAGACTTGAGAGGGGGGAAGTTTTGAGTTCTGTTTTCTTTTCCGAAACTCTAATTGAAGTTTCTTCATCGGAATCCTTTAGTGGTGGTGGAATCGTCTTCAACAGCTCGAGTTCAGTTCGCTGCCCCAAGAAAGGTAACTTCACTTCCTTTGGTATTTTGTCCCAATGTTGTGTGTTGTATGTTCCATGCTTGGTGTAGAATCTGATGTTAAATGTACTTGGTTCCTAGTATTAGTGTTTTCTTTATCGTTGCCTACTTTGTGAATTTCTGGGCTGCAACATGAATCTCATTGATTAAGTCTCTTCGGCATTATGTTGATAGATCAGCTGGTTCGATGTTATGTGTGTATAGCTAGCTGGATCTTTGCTTTATTTTGTTCGATATGAATTGGGATCATTTAATTTTGACTTCTAATGCATTAGCTGTATAGTTCGGTTTCCTTATTGTTTACTCGTTTTCTTGGGTCTCTTTTTCTGTTGTTTGACCCATCATTATGAACTCTCACCAATGCTAGCATAATCTCATAGTATTTATCTATATACTTGAACACTGCTCATTTAGCTCTAATTCCTCTTAATTTTAAGCATGTTTTCAACAGTTGTGAAGTAATATATAGTTCCTTTACTTACTTTAGTCATCACTGGCTCATTTCTTTCTTCCTTTCACATGCTTAATTCAACGTTATAAGCGGTTAACGCCTATTGGAGCCTTAGGTGTTCTAAGATTGCTTTTCTTCGAATATGTGTTTCGTTCTCTTTAAGTTTGCGATACATGAGGCATTTGCTTGGCATGAACTTTGCATTTAGATTGGGTTAATGGGTTGTGTTATCTGGAAAAGATTTGCTTTCAAGTTAAAATCAGATTAGTAGTTATTGCTTCCCTCAATGAGTTCCATGTCTTTCAAGTGTTGGAATTATTATTATTATTATTATTATTATTATT